CCTCCATAGGGAGGGAGCAAGTTGGGCAGGGCTGGGGCTGCTGCCCAGCTGGGGCCCAGGGCCAGAAAGTATGGCCACACGGCCCCAGTGGGGAACAGGACAGAGCCACAGGAGGCTCATCCAGGGGATATGGGGGTGCAGCTGGCTCCTCACCACTGTGCATGCTTCCAGGAGGGCACGTGCCCCTCAGGTCTGTGCACAGGGTGAGGGCGGGCTGCCCGCTGCAGACTTAGGCTTCCTGCCCTTCTGGCTTCCCCCAGGGCCTCCAACAAAGCCCAGCAGGTGAAACCTGGCGAGGCAGGACAGAGTGGGACCGGGCAGGGTAGCTCCTTGCCACTGCAAGGCCCACAACACTCTGGAGAAGTGCCCTCTGCCTGTCGGCAGCAGCAGGGGCAGTGGCACAGAGCTGTGCTTGTCACTGCTACCAGGCGGGCAGGGAGTACCTCGCCATGGCAACACGGCACTCACAGCAACGGCAACAAGCTTCCCTGCTCAGCCCCACTGCCTTGCTGTGCCGGGTCTCACCCGCTGGGCCATGGAAGGCCTGAGGGGAGGGCAATGGAGTGGGGAGCCAGTACCCACCTCCATCTCCCAACACAGGATCCATTCTGGCTGTGCTGCCCCCAGGGGAGGAGTCAAGCTCCACACTCCGCTCCACCTTGGGTGGCAAGTGGGGCTTGGGTACTGCAGGGCACAGCAGGCTGTGGCCACATAGCCTTGGCAACTGGGGGCCCCCCTCCAGTAGGGCTGGCAGGGCTGTGGGTGGGAGTGAGGGGCCTGGACCTGCATCCTGGTACGCAAAGGGGGCACAGGGAGCTCTGATTTTCCATGATAAAAAACCCAGAATCAAACACCAAAATTTATAGGTATTTGGAAGTTATTTTATTATAGTGATTGAGGCACTGTTAGGCTTTCAAATTGTTTCAAATTTTTAAATATTAACAAAACACATTGTGTTCAACTGAGAGAGAAAGCGAGATTTAAAATTAATCTCAGATTTTGAATTTTTTAAATTCCTTTTTTTCAAATCGGAGATTTTGCCATTTTTAAAATGGAAAAAAACAGGATCTCTGCTCATTATTTGTTTTTAAAAGTTATCCCCAAATTCATACAGGAATTTCAGTGCTTGACAAAATGGCATTCTAATGGGAAGCATCCCAAGTTATTCTGGTCAAGGATTTGCCATCTGAATAACTTTTGATCTTAGGTGACTGAAACAAATTATTAGTACGAAAGGTCTGAATGACTAAAATTCTTATTTTATCAAAGTTTGGAAAGTAGAAAAAAGATCAAAAGACATGGCCTCCAGTCTACCCTATTGTGAACTTGAAAACAGTGTCATGTGTCCCTTATATGTGGATTATGCCACAAGTAGCAAAATATGCTGGCTACTGATCTTTCCTTAGCAAAGACACACCACTATTCACTCATAATATTGATTGACATCTAAGGTTAATCAAAGTAGTAACTCTCTGACTTGAGTTTGCAAACAAACTTTTAAAAGCATATTTCAAAAGTACAGTGAAAAAAAGTTAACATAAAGCAGTTGTCTTATTATTCTACAGATACATTTTTTCTACTAGACAGACACCACTTTTGTATTTAAAGGAAATCTGCTGAAAGTAGTCATATATTGCTATACACCGATTTAAGACAGACTTATGATAGAGACCCAGGGGTATCAAACTCATCCAGGCATGAGGATGGTAAGGGGCACAGGGCTGGTCTATGGGCTGGATCAGGTTCACAGACCAACCCCACATGCAACAGATAATATCATGGGCCAGATGACAGAGCTTGATCTGGCCTGCAGGTCGTATGTGACACCCCGATACAGAAAATGTAATAAAATTGTAGTAATATCAAATTATACCAATATCAGCTGTTACAACATTACATATGCATGCTGCTGTAACAATAAAAGTGTAGCAAAACTACTACAACTTTACCTTGTAACATTATCTTGTATGGGTCACAAAGTTACACGGTAAGAGATTAGGTTCTCCCAAGTAGCACTTCCTTCGCTTTAAAAGGAGTTAAAAGGTGGTTTTGTCCATACTTCTACGTAATTAGTTGTTTCCTACTTCAATTAAAAATCATTATTTTGCTTTCTTTTAAATGTATTTTACATTTTAACAAACCTACCGATGTGAAATTCCAACAGCATTTAAACAAAAAAGGAGAAATTATGTAATGACTCTGATCTCTTCAGCTTTTTGAACTGAAAAGATCTATTCATTTATTGCCAGTGTGTTACTTCTTTTCTTCAGAATTCCCAATAAAAACACCGAACACCACAAATTAAGTTTAAGCTACTTACTTGAATGACTTTGTAGAAATAGGCATATTGTCGAGCTGTGTTTTTATATTGGCTGAAGACATCATGTATGGCCTGAGTTGACTGAAGATACTGAACTTCATCTTCTTCAAAATACAGAGGAGTATTATATTCACTAGGGAGAGTTTGAATGTATGGCAGCCAGAAAGAATTAGGACTGGCTCGCTCACACAGAAGATGAAATGCCAGTGTGATATTGCCCATGGCTTGGAGAATTCGATCTTGAGAATACAACGATGCTGAATTAATCCATTAAAAAAAAAGGAAGGTGGGGGAGGAGAGGAGGATTAATGACTTATCATGTTTTCCGAAGGCAAGATGTTACTAAATTTGTGTTAAATTCATATGATTCAAAATTATCAAAAAATATTGAGATTGCCAGCGTATGTAGCTGGCCGAAGCTGATTAAACCGAGTGGTAGAATAAGTCTTCTTAAAAGCCTGCACTACATCTATATATATTTTATCAAAAAGTTATGTTTTTGGTGTGGCTCGGAAAAAGATGAATTAAAGGTAAGATATCAGCTCAGTAGTTTCATTTAAAACACACTTCATCACCAAATACTCTACAAACTGTTACAAATATTCAGGAATTAAAATCCATTTCCATTAAAATGCACACCCCAAGGTAAGGTACCTGATGTACATTGGATAGGAAGGAACAGGGGAATTAAATTCTGGTCACTGTCACTTCAAAACTCTAGGTATTTCAAACCTGCTGTTTAGATTACCAAGCCATTCTTGTACTGATTTGCAGGCCTGCGGCAAAAGACCCTCCACCGATATGGTCCTGCACATACTTTTCAGGAAGTGTAGAAGTTATTCTTACCTAACACTGAATTTTTGGCAGATTCAACTGTCATCAGCAATTTCCTAGGAACCCAAAGGAACAGTTCTTCTGCCTGGGAGGAGGAGTAGCAGAAATACAAGGCAACATAACAAGGAAATTCAAGGCTTAATCTATAATTTACATGAAATATAACAAGAGCATCTCAAATATAAAAAGCACATCTTTTAAAATCAGTTCAGAGGTTTTCCTCTCTCCCCTTTTTTTAAATCCTAAAATTAAGCTTAACCAAGACTCTTCTACCATCTGCCACAAAGTAAATCGAAATATGATGGGCACTTTTTTACATTATGACAGTAAAAGCTACAACACAGGTTTAAATAAACAAATGCACAAACCATAGCAAGAAAAAGTTTTAATAATACTACATCAGATGACCAGAAGGCATCAGTATTTTCTTCCATTAACCCTGAAATAAATATTGTAATGCTCTTCTGCATGACACAGAAACATGCAAGTTCTAAGAAGGGATGCGTAATAGTGAATAAGCATGGGTTTGTGAATCAATATTTACATTTTCACAAAGCCTATCAGTTAATTATACAAAAAATACTACTCTAACATTATTTCTTGGGAACAGAATTTACAATAAAAGAATTAGTTCCAGTTAACTACATATACAGTGTGCAGAAACTGTAGTGGATAAAGTATAACGGCAAGATACTGAAACTATACTTTCAAACGTGGTTTTCTAATCTAGTTAAATGTTTGCATGCTCACCTTTATCTCTCTTGTTGCTTTCAAACCAAATCCCTCTTCTTCAAAGTTAGCTATTTCAAAACCCTCTGTGGAAGCTCCATTTTCAGTGGCCCACTTCATTAGGTCAGGAAAATAGTCTTCTCTTTTCCCATCAAAGGTAACAGACAAACCTATACACAGTTTAAAAAAAAGATACAGAAATAATAAGATCCTATAGGCCAGAAAAATCTAATATAAAAGCACATATAAACAAACTCTTAACTATCTCACAGAAGACCTTCTTTGAAGAGGCTGTCAAAACTAGTCTTTGTTGCAAGTGACTCAGCAGTATAACAGGCATATCCAATTTTAGTCAACCCAGACATTCTGCCAGATTTGCTTACTAGTCATCTTTGAAACACAGCCACTCAAAGTAGCCTGAGAAAAAGTATGCAAGAAAGCCACCTTCCTTTTCTCATTTAACTGAGGTCAGAATGAAGACATCCCATTGCTGAGTGTTGATAATAAATGCACGAAGCAGAAAATGCAGGTAAATAAAGAGAGATACAGTGACAGACTTAAGCAGTAGGCTACAACCTTAGCAATTTATTGGCGAGATGGGTATTCTAAAATGACTCCATCCGATCCTTCTTTCCCATCATGTATCAAGCATTAACTTTTTCTAGCATGGTGTGCATAGCTTCAGCTGTATAGCCCAAGAATGTCCAACTTCTGGGCAGCTAGGACTGCAAGCTGCTCAGTCACATACTGAGGGCCACACCTGGGCCACAATAATCCCCCCAGCCCTCCCCACTGCAGTGCTTGGGCCCCACCTCATACGTATGCTGCAGCATAGGCCCCCTATGTCCATGAATAGTATGCAACACAGCTCTTCGCCACTCCCTCCTCCACTGCATGGCAGGAGACCCACTGCACAGCACTGACAGATGCTGGCTGGGATCCATAGGTCCCTGGGGACTCCAGTGGTAGCAGCAAGAAAACAAATGAAAGGATGGTGCCTGGTCCAGGAATCTGGGGCTGCAATGTATCCCTTTGGGGTTGCATGTGGTCCACAGACCAACAGTTGGACAGCACTGGTATAACCCTTGATTACCAGAAGATCATCCTAAGGCTAACCCTAATATACAGCTCTCCTCCAGATCCTTACTACACTCCCCCCATGAAGGCTTCTTGTTTCCACTTCTCCTACAAGCATAAAGTTATAAATAAAATCCCAGGTATTTATCTTTTGCATGAGGTGGCCTCCTTAACCTTTATCTGTGCTGAACACTACACAGAGGGTTTGATCACACTCCCTAGCCCCAGCCCAGATCCAGTCTCTCATGTCAGCCCCCTGCTTCTGACAAACGCATTCATAATCCCCAAGAAGCTGAGGCCAAAGTACTGAGCACTCGTGTGTATGACTGCCAAGCAGTCTGCAAAGAGATTCTAATTAAACATTGATAAATCTGTTCATGATGAGAAGAAAAAACTTTAGAATATCCATTTAAGGAAGTCAAAAACTTATTGATTTTACTTTGACTGTATATTGTAAACCCAACTTCTATTGTAAAATGACAGTACAAGCATTGCTAACGCTCTAATCTTTGACAGATACATTAATACGAAATTATATTTGCCATCATTGACAAAATAGTTTTTGAATGAAATGAGAGTTTAGTATACAGTATAGGGCTGAGACACTTCTTTCATTTTCATCTTAACTTCTGTTTGTTATCTTCCGTTGAACATATTTAGAACCATGGCCTCACACTTCACTGTGTAACTTCTATGGAATTTGATAGATGTTTACATTTTCTAGGACATTACATGAACAAAGCACATTTACTACTGTATAAGGCTGAAAGATTGCATTTAGAATTATTCTGTGCCCACTGCAGAAACACTCCTCTTCTTTACAATATATGTTTTTCCTATTCAAAGAGTGTTGGCAATCCCTTCATGTTGCATGTACTGCTACAAAATGCTTATATTGACCAAAATATCGTTTCTTTTACATGTAAAATTTTGCTCAGAAGCCATGAAAAACATTAAAAAAAATAAAACTGTAGGTTCCTATGAGCTCCTAGTAGAAATGTTCTAAAAACTTAAGTAATTTGGCTTCATAGTCCAATCAATCCTATTCAAGAGCGCTGTAGAATGCAGACTTAAGTATGTGCTAACTGGCACAATTCTTCTAATCATTTAAAACTTGTTTGGTAAATCAAGAGTAGGTTGTTCGCATTAGTGATACATGCCACCTGTCAGATACATTTGTATTTTTCAGTGACACAGAAAACCCTCTGCAGCCTAACTGCTATGCTCCCTCCAAATAAACGAAACTGGGGAAAAGTATATGCCCACCACACAAATGTAAATGAGTTATTGGAACATTACTATGGCTAAACAATTCTACATTTTCAATGCAAAACACATCTAATAATGTAATATTAATATTCACACTGTTTCCATCCTCCGTAAGATTCTTTTTGCCACTATACCATTCACGTTGAAATGCAAAGAAATCAAGTAGCATGAGTCCCGATCCAATTCCACTTTTAGGCAGCTATGTAGTACTTGCAGAGTTAACATTTGTTGCGCAGAACAGCATTTTAGGCCACTTATGCAGATTACAGACATTATGCCCTTTAGAAAGGTTTTTCTGAAGTCATGAAATAGGCTTTTCATACCTTTTATCCCAATACTTTAGTAATTGGGGCACATACTTAGGACTTGGAAGATCTACATTTTAGGCCCCCGGCACCCTGAGGGGGTTTAAATCTGTATCTCCCACCTTCCACTAAAAATGCCCTTATTCACCAGCTCAAGGGCTAGGCATGGCCAAGAGAAACCTCCACTCTTCCTATTGAAACTGGTCCCTGTGGGGCCAGAAACAGGGAGTGTCTCAGTGACAAAGGAGTTCTGGATTTTGGCCCCTGCTCTACCCTTCCACCCCCATACTATTTCTGTGTTTTGAATTTAATAGTCACTAGATAAAAATGGACGTACGAGTAGCATAATTTTTGCCCAGTTTCAAGTGATTAATGCAAATCACTGCTGCTACTAACGTGTCACTCAGTTTTTGATAAAGAACTCTAGTCACATGTTGGCTACAGTGATATTATCACAAACATTTTTACTCAGCCATTAGGAAATTGTCCTATAATTTTTTTTCTTTTTAAATAAAAATGCCCTTTTCACACAACCTTTTAAATGGGGGGAAAATATAGTTATGCAAGATGTAAGATTTGCTTGTGGATGCCATATTGACTTCAACTTTGTGTCAGTCTGCTGATCTTGTCAAATACTATTTTTAAGGAGCATTCTTTCCTATGTTTGACAAAATTATTTGGATAAATGTGATATCTTTCATTAGACCAACTAAATAGTTGGGAAAATTGTTCTTTGCTTTTCCACATCTGATTAGGTATTTTGCATAGACGACAGTGGAATGTTCTGTGCACGATGCAAGAGTTACACAACACTTTGTTTTCATATCCACCTTTTTGTTTTTTGCGAATTTTCTCAACAAAAGCTCGAATCTGCACATACTCTTCCCACTCTTTTCCAGGACCCGGGGTTGGGCTGCTGCATTCTGGAAATAGAAATACCCATATAAGAACATTGTTCAATGGAATATACTTCATTCAGCGGAAAAGAGCCTTGCTTTCAGTTCCCTTCTACTGAACCTGACTGGGAAATGTTTCTTCACTTAAAACACAGGTACACAGCATTTCCTACAACATTATACATTTCCTATCTTTGATATGTAGATAGCAGATGTTTGAAATTCTCCTATATCACTTGCTTTAAAAAATGTTTTATTTTGATTCATTTATTTGCCTTCAGAAATAAGATCAAATACTGAGAATTATATAGGATGAGGAAAAAAGGGACAGAACTAGCAACAGAAAGTTTTTCTGAAATGGTAAATATCTTTATTGTAACGAAAGAAGGACAATACAGTGATGAATCACCAAGAAGATAAAGCTTAGTATTGCACATATTTAGCCTACCTATGTTAATACAATGGTGTAAGACATCCCCATAGGGGAGAACTAAAAGAAATCTTGTTCTGGATTACATCAACAGCAAAGATTACCTTACTAAAAACTAATTTAAAAACTCGACTTTCATGCTTGAATATAATCTTTGCTTTCTAAATATTAATTTAAATTAAAATAAAAAGATGAAGAAAACGGCATGCTCACTTAAGTTGCACTGCAGAATTGTTGATGTAGTCCAAAACAAGATTTATTTTTGGGGGG